ATAAAATAATAAAATAAAATAAAATAAAATAAAATAAAATAAAATAATAATAAAATAATAAAATAAAATAAATCCTGATATGGACCAGTGGTGGGATTTAATTTTTTTTACTACCAATTCAGTGAATGTGGCTTGGTGGGCGGGGCATGATTTGGTGGGCGTGGCATGGCATGGCAGGGGAAGGATACTGTAAAATCTCAATTCCCTCCCCACCCCACTAACCTGCTTTCCAGCTCCGTTCTCCTGTGCAGGGCAACCAAAGAAGACCCAGCCAATCAGCTGGGACTCAATGGGAGGCGGAGAATAGATGGGGGCGGGGCCAGTCAGAGGCGGCATTTGCAGGTTCTCCGAACTACTCAACATTTCCGCTACCAGTTCTCCAGAACTGGTCAGAACCTGCTGAATATACCATCTCTGATATGGACCATATATAAAGCCTTGAGGTTTGTGGACAAGATGCCTGAATGCCAAAGCATCCAAAAGTGTAAATAATCTTAGAGGTAGTGGTAGGGAACAGCTTAGTAACAGGGAGGAAAAAAATTCTAAAATAGTTCAATGAGAAATCATCAGCAGCCACAAAATGCTATCTGGCAGTTATGGGCGGGATGGAAAATTGGAGGTTGGGAAAAGGAGCAGAGAATGAAGTACCCTGGAAGGAATCACGGTACATTGAACTTTGCTTTTCCACCCATTGCTGTTTCCCATAAAGTTATCCTTGTGGATGGTTCGTTCCTAATGCAAGGAAGAAACTCACAGGAAACTTCCATTAAATATTTTTTTTTGCATTTCTTAGGCCACCCTAGCAGTTTCCTTGGAACGTGAAGTTCACACAAACCTCAAATCTTGCTTGAATATATACCCAGAGCTGATTAATGATCTCCTGGAACAGTGATGTCCCAAGCTTTTCCACCCCAACTTTTTGGGGGGTTCTCCAAGCTTAGGAAGAATTAATATTACAGATCCAAGACGATCTGAAGCTTGCCAACATAGAATTCGCCCTCTGCCTACAGAACCCCAAATATCTGCAGGTAGAAGCAACTGGTTGCAGAGGATGGGAAAGAGCTTTGCAAGGGACTTTGGATTTTCTCATTCAGGTGGGCAACCTTAGGCCAGAGGAGCAGGGGTGGGCAGCTATCAGCTCGCACCGGTTTGGCCGAACCGGAAGCTAATTTTACATCTGGTTCGCTGAATGCCCAGGTAGGGGAGAAACGGGCTCCCCAAAGGCTCAAAAAAAAAAAAAAGCCTCCAGAGCCTTGGGAGGACCAAAAACAGGCCTCCCAGAAGTTCTGGAAGGTTCCAGAGGGCCTCCGGAGCCTGGGGAGGCCATTTTTGCCCTCCTGGAGGCTTGAGGAAAGCCTCTGGCGCCTGGGCCCGTTTCTGGCCTCCAGAGGGCCTCCGGAGCCCAGTGAGGTCAAAAACTGCCCCCCCTCCCCGTGGCGTAGGAGGCTGACTAGGCCACACTCACCCAGCAACCGAGCAGAGAACCGGTTGCTAAATTTTTTGAAGCCCACCCCTGCAGAGGAGGCAATAATCAGCTAAGGTTGTTTCCAAGTTTCGTTTTCCTATGCCACCAGAATTACAGAATAACAGTGTTGGGAAGGACCTTGGAAGTCTTCTAATCCAATCTCCTGCTCAAACAAGAATCCCTAGACCATTTCAGACTAAGGGCTATCCAATCTCTTCTTAAAAACCTCCGGTATTAGAGCACCCACAACTACTGGCAAGCCGTTCCACTGGTTAATTGCTCTCACTGTTAGGACCTTGGAGGTCTTCTAGTCGAACCCAAGCAGATAACCCTATACCATTCCAGAAAAATAGCTGTCTAATATTTTCTTAGAAACCCCCAGTGTTGGAGCATGCACAATTTCTGGAGGCAAGTTGTTCCACTGATGAATCGTTCTCACTGTCAGGACATTCCTCCTTAGTTCTAGGTTGGTTCTCTCCTGGATGAGTTTCCATCCATTGCTTCGTGTCCTGCCTGTTTTGGAGAAAGGCTGACCCTCCTCTTCTTGGGGGCAGCCGCTTAGACTTACTTTTACTCTTTCTTTTGAAAGGAAATAGGCCGTGGCATGGAGCACATCTGCCGAGTGGGTTGAATTGTGGTAAGAGTTGGATAAGTGATAATTGGCTTCTATGACTTGCAACCAAGACCTCAGCGTCGACTCAGAGCAACCGAGAAACTCACAGATCCGAAAGCGAGCAAACAGTTTGAGGCCAAGATAAACCAAAGGCCTGGAGGGAAGAAGAAGGGGGGGGGAAAGGTAATTCGTTCTCCCCTGTTCTTACTGCACCAAAAGCCCAAATAAACAGCGAGAGTCCGTAGCCAGGTGATCAATCTCTCCCAGAATGCTGCTCCCACGAGCTTCTTTGCTTCTCCTACAAACCTTTTATGAGTAGCAGCCTCCAACTCAAAAATATTAAAATCCCAGTCTTGTTCATTTTCCATTGCTTGAGCTATCCTGGGTGGGATGTCGTTGAGGGAGATGGGTGAGATCAAACTGCCCGGTACTTGATGGGTTTCTAAAAAAAAAATATGAAGACATAGGGACATAAGTATTACAAGTACACCTGGATCTCTCATGAGAAAACAAAACCAAGAACAAACTGCAAAAGCATGTAAAGGCAACCAGGTACAGGTAATCTTGACTTATGACCCCAATCGAGCTCAAAATTTCCATTACTAAGCGAGACAACTGTTAATAGCAATAGCACTTAGATTTATATACCGTGTTACAGTGCTTTACAGCCCTCTCTAAGCAATTTACAGAGTCAGCCTCTTGCCCCCAACAATCTGGGTTCTCACTTTGGAAGGATGGAAGGCTGAGTTAACCCTGAGCCAGTCGGTCAGGATCGAACTGCTGGCTGTGGGCATAGGTAGCCTGCAATACTGCATTCTAACCACAAGGAAGGAAGGAAGGAAGGAAGGAAGGAAGGAAGGAAGGAAGGAAG